AAAGCAAGCTGGAACCAAGATACCCTGGATATTTTGAGAGCAAAGCAAGAATCCTAATGTCTTCAGAAAATGTAATGAGTCTAAAAGCTAAAGACTTTTCTCTGAGTCAATAGCTAAAAAAATTTATGTCAATGGATTACTGGGCAACATATCATCATCCTTTCTGGCTTCCCACCTCCTTCAACCAAACTTCTAAAAATATAACAACTGAGTGAGATATGGTGTGTTAAAGGGGGGTGGAGTTGAGAGTGGAGGAAAGGGAAGGAAATTCTGAAAAGGTGCAAGCAGTGAGATCACTGTGGCAGCTTCTGCTTAGTGCTGGATGTGCTAAAATTTACATTAAGAAATTTCCATCTGTATTGCAACAGGAAAATATATATTGCCAGGGTGGCTAACCTGTGGCTCGCAAGCCATGCAAAGGCAGCTTCTGTGTCAGGGCTGCCTCAAATGGGAATAATAGGTCCACACTGAATAATTCAAATCCCCAGCTGGGAGACAAAATGAGTTGTAAGGACCTGCTGAAGTACTGCTGGGTGGCTTTGCCACTTACCTGCATGCCCAGCTAAATCTTGTCTGACAATAGAAAAGTGGGAACCCTGAAGGGGTCTTTTTATCTTCTGCCTTTAAACCTCTGACAGAACAGTCCCTGATCCACATATGTGATATGTGTCTTTAGCCAAAGGATGGTTTAGTAATATGGTTCACAGGCCGAAGAGGACTGGTCTGTCTTATATGCTAAACAGAGAAGAACCACGTAGCACGGACAGTCCAATTATTTTCAAAAAGAATATAGAAAACCCCAGACCAATATATCTGTGAGCAATGGAACTCATGAGACATGTTTTATTCTGACTTTGTGATCTGATTCTGTAGTGTCTAAACAGCTTAAGCTTGTTTACGCAAGGCTGAGTTATTCATAACATCATCTTCAAGTTTGGATTCCCTCCTGTTGAAAAGGAAATTCATCATCTAAATGGGCTAAAAGTCCAAAATGTCTCTTCATCCCGGCCCAGTATCTTCACTCAGACAAAAGTTAACTTTATGCTTTTGAAACCCTGAAATTAGCCAGCTGATTCAAAGTTATTTTTACATATATATACAGGCAATGTAGGTCTTGTTTCCCTAGGAACATGTATGTTGAGAGGTCATTTGGACAAGAGGCCAAGTTTAAGTAAGCAATCTTGAACTTTGTTTGTGCGTTGGAAAGCAGCATTTGCACACATAAAGTAAATATAGGAGCCATTAAAACTGTCCTTGATTCTGAAACATACTCTTGGTCTTAATGAAGATTTGACTGATCTTGCTAAGCCTGTCTGGCCCTGGATAAGCAGTTTGTAACTAAATAAAATATTTTTACAGCAGTTCACTGCTGGCTCCACTATAGTGAAGTCTTCAGGACTGCCCATCTGTCTTTTCTAGACCTTCTGTTTGTTAAGGCAAAAGCTTCTTTCTTGAGTGGTTCAGTGTTAAGCCCTGAAATAAGGGTGCTTGTCCCATTTTCCAGTTGCACTGGAGTTGTGTTCTGTCTAGAGTTATGAAATTCCAGCCATCTCCTTTGTGGCCCTCTGACCATCCTGTCCACAGTGACAGAAGTACACACTGTGGAGGCAGTTCAGAAAGGGTGCCAGAACATCCTTTCAGAAGTTTCTGAAATTTCCACAAAATATTATTTGATCCATACTGTTCTGGAATAGAAGTAGGGGTCATGAGCTGCTAAAGTCATAGTCAAGTTTGATCTTCTCCAGTGTTCAGAGGGGCTTGGGTCAGTGTCTCTTAGAGAAAACAGCTTCATAGTTCAGGTTAGGCCTGACTCTGACCAAATTTGCAGATGGCTGAGACCAGTCACCAGTTCAGCCCTTTTATTCATCTAGCCTGATCAATTAATGCCAGATGTGGTTGCCTAGATGATTTGAATCTCTTTTGGTGTATGGAATGGAGGTTTCAGCTGGGCACACCTCTAGTTCTGGTTGAAGATTCTGGTTGTTCCTTACTTATTGTGAACTAATTCTCATAATCCCTCTTGCTGAGATAACTTCATATTTTAGTACTGTGGTAGGAATTCCTCCATGTGAGCTTTCCAGCAGCTGTTCCATATCTTGAGCATAAAGTCACCATTTCCCCTCAGGCCCTACTGCTGTTTGGGGGTGGAGATGCTGTTCTAGCACACAGTGGGAAAAGGGAGCTGGGGAGGGCTGAAGAGAATTGGAGAAGGGCAGGAGGCACCCAGAGCAGCAGCTGCTGTTTTTGCAAGTGAAAGCATTGCAAAACACTATCCTTTTCATTCCTTCCCCCGCATACCCAGCCTTCAGTGAGAAGAATGGCAAACAAGCAGAATAAACATATGCTGCTGTATCCCAGGTCCTGCAAGGAGTGAAAGAGCCAGTAAATCCGGAAACGGAACTTGACCTTTTTTTTTTAAGTTTTCAGGCAGATTCCCTAGTCTCATCTGCGTTGTTTGTGGTTGAAAGTAAGGCAAAAGGGAGCAATGCTGAATACTACATCTGAGGAAGCTTTTAAAATAACAAGTTGTTTGAAGCTCAGAGAATCAGACACAAGATTTGTTTTGCAGTGGGGGATTTAATAGGTTACAGAAGGGCCCTGTTCTTCCTTCTGACCATCCTTCCTAGAATCTGTTGACTAGTTTAATAGGACTGGATGATCTAACTTTTCAATGCTAAATTTGGGACATGTGACAGCAATTCCCATGCAAGTGCAATGGCACAGAAATACAAGCAAGCACCAGATCTGTAACCTCTTGCTGCTTTGATGCACAGGAGAAGCGTCCCAATGCACCCAAATATTGAGTGCTGCCTCTAGTTGTTTCCTCAGAGAATCTTTTTATCCTGTCTAAAACCCTCCAAGTTACTAATTACTTGGAGAGTGGAAGCACTGCTAGCCTTGGTGAGCTGCTTCTCCTGCCTCTTCTCCAGGATCCTCACATGGTTTGTTCCCAGCTCCCTGTCTGCCTCTTGGCTTAGTTGCCAGAAGCAGCCGAGCAGGTTGTCCATTAGCAGCGGAGCAAGGGCTGTGATTTCCACAGCCATTTCCATGAACCTGAGAGGTGCTTGGAATGGAAGATATGAGAGAGCAATGCTGGGGAAGAGGTATTTTTTTTTTTCCTCTGAGCAGTAGGAAGAGCTGATCAGTCTCAAAAATTTGCCTCTATTTAACACCAACACCATTCAAGGAAGACGCTGTTCTCACAGTGCCCTTTGGTGTGTGGATGTTATAAGCTGCTTCAGGAAAGCTTTGCTGTGTGCATGGATGGAACTTGTAGCAAAAGGGTCTGTCCTGGCTGTCCTTCCCCTCTGAAAGGATTTGGCAGTTGGGTAAGGTTGTGACACATCTGGCCTATGTTTTGGCTGTTGGCCTCTGCAGCATAGGGAGTGTACTTGACCTCTTGTGGAGGGCACCTCCAGGTTGTTTCTTCCTCGACTTGAATGGGAATAAAAATAGTAGCACATGTAGGTGATAGAGGGTACATAGTCTTCCCTCGGTTTCTTAAGAAGGACTAATCCAAAATTAATGAAAGTCTATTCATATAAAAAGCTCCTATAGCTCAATTTTCTTATGAATCATATGTTTGGCATTCAGTATATAGGGAGAGAATCTTATTAGTTCTTGTTTTTCCAATTACATATTCCCTGTTCATTGCTATTTTACACACAGAATTTGTTGCAACTGGATTTTCAGCACTTAGTAGTATTTACATCCAAAAGGAGAAACATTATAGAACAAGGTTTTCACAGCACTGAGAATGTTGAGGGTGTCAAAATCCCTAGTACATATGGACTTAGTTGTAATGAGCTGTAATTCTGTGAGGCCTAGCATTATGAGAAAAATAGTTGCCCATCACAAAGTAACCTGAAATATGCAAGTGCTAGATCAAGCAGGTTTCATTTTGGGTATATTCCGTTCCTGATTTTATGTTCTCATGCAACAATGATTTTATATCACTATTATTGTTACTGGTGATACACAGTCTGTATTTTATCTGGATTTAATAGGGCAGGCTAAAGGGGCTATATATGAAGTTTTAATATTACAACAGATGTTGTTACAATCACTCATGAGATAAACATTTCTTCCTTGATGCTTTTATGCACTGTGAAAGGAAGATTTCTCCATCTTTCCTTTTCCAAGTTAGAAAGAAGCTTAAACCAGCTAAAACTATGCTAGGAATATCTAGGCTATCTCTTCTTTCTGGGCTCGATCAACTGATCACGAGAAAATGGTCATGAGAAACAGACAGTCTCTAGTGGCTGAAGTGTCCATGGTCACAGCTGTAAACACTGGGGAGTGCTGATGGGCGTGGGCTTGGTTGCTGCAACTCAAAAGAGGAAGGTTAAAGTAGCAACAGGCAATGCACCAATGAACTATTGTGGTCCTAAATGTGCATAATACCCCAATATTTAGGAACTGTTGCATACTGCTATGCCAGTCTGTGTGGTCTGGTCTGCTTTCTAGCTCTGCAGAAGAAATATAACTACTGATGGTTGAATCTAGCTATAGCTGTCCATGGTGAACTGTAGGATTTTAAACAAGCAAGATCACATAAAGGCAGACATGAAGCTTCACTAAACCACACAGAATGAATATAGGGTACAGAAATGTTAACTGTAGAATTTCTTATATTGGGTTGGTTGAAGTCATTGCAATCTTCAAGTATTTTATCATGTGTATATGTAAAAGCGTGGGAGGGCAGACATGCAACAGCATGCATCTTTCACTGTGCCTGGGGACGGTGTTCTCATAATACCAGAGGAAAGTTCAGGGAAATATTTGCACTCAGTAATTACATTCTGGCTTCCTGTGCGGGGTAATTTCAGTCTTTGCAGTTGCCTTCATCTCTCCAGGGAGTGCAGTGATAAAACTGTTTTTCTTCTCTCACCTTGATTATAGTTCCACTTCCATTTTTATTGTATGATATCTTAGTTTTTCTGCCATACAAGCAGCAAAGAAGCAAGCAATTCTGATCAATAATCTTTCTGTTCCCACAGGCAGAGATGAAGAACTTGTTCCTTCTGCTCATGCTAGCAACGATGCCAACTTCTACATTTTCAGTAAGTAAAAGCTCTTCTGAACATTGTTATGAAAAATGAAAGATACTTCTGTTAAGGACCATCAACATCTGTAACTCAAGAATTTTGTAGAAAGTATTCTTCCTGAAAGAGCTAATGGGCTCAAGTCATCAGGCCTACTCTGGTACATGTTATGAAAAGTCTAACATAACAATTAAATAACAAAATTCTTGTAGTGCCTTTGGCTGTAGGGGTGCTATCTGCAAAGCGGTAATTGCTGTCTCCTGCTTCAAAGCTACAGGGAGTTGTCACTTGCAGTAAAAAGAATGAATCTTTGATTATCTGTTTTTTGTCTTTTCTTTGGTCTTAGTGGTCTAAGCCATATGGTTTAGCTTTACTGGGGGAGGTAATCTTTATGTTAAGCCAATCTGATATTGTCAGAAAAAAATACAGCCGTTGGGAACTGGAATTCCTCTTCCTTTCTTGAGAGAGAAGTAGGATCTTTCTGAAGTAAATGCATCTTGAGAACAGTTTCTCTGAGTTTAACCTCAATTTTATTAATGAGTTGGACATCTGAGGTAAAAGGTGACCTGCTGAGTAGAGTGGAAGTGTTAGCAAAGGAAGATGCGGTATGTTTGTTAGGTGTAAAGGAACAGAAAGGGGAAAAAAAGAGGTAATTATCACCTGGAGTGAGTGTTTTGTGGGAGTAGTGAGGAATTATAAATATGCCATTAAAATTAATGAGTCCATAACTTTTAATGTCTAGTACAATTACGAACTTGTGTTCCCAGATTCAACATTTGCAAATGCTTTCTAGGCCTTCTTTGAAGATGGGGGGGGAGAGGCCAGAAATCAAGCAGAGTTTGTTAGTTGTCATGATTTCCTACCTTACAGAGAGAAATATGCTTAAATGAGATCCTGCTATCTCACATCCAATAGAAGATGGTGGTGTATGTTAAAAGAACCAGAACCAGAATATACTAGATTCAGTTCATCTGTTCACTTGTCTATCTCCAACCTGGTGATTTTTTGGAAAGTAAACGACTGAAACACCCTGCAACTGTGAAGGCTGACATTTCTCTGTAGCATTAGACTCCTCTGAGTGTAATCAGTGGCTCCTCTTGAAGCCATGCTGAATCAAGGGAGATGGTTATGCTTGGTCACCACTTGATTTCAGTTTCCCTGGCATGCTGGATCTGTCCAAGCCATAAGGAAGCAGGAAGGTCCAGCAGCACTGGGACACTCTACTGTGGTAATTCTCCATTTTATTTTATTTTTAATTTTTTTTCTGGGACGAAAGAGAGAAATGATGTTGTTTTCATATGGGCCATTCCTTACCAGATGCTAATGCAGGTAGGCTGAACCATAGTGGGACAGTCAGCTGGTGGGAGCTGGAGCTGGCAGGACTGATTGTAGCAATGTCAACTTGAGTCTGTGCTAGATCAGGCTATGCACCAAAAGAGTAGTGTAGCTGCCTGAACTCCCACAGGTGGGACGGCTCTGGAAAAGCAGTGCCTGCACACCTGTGCTTCACTGTTGCAGAAAAGGAGTGGTAGCCCTGCTTCTGTGAATGCAGATTTTGTACTTATGTGGTGGGAGAACAGTAGGGAAGGAGAGGGCAAGAATGAAAAATGAGGCAGGGAATACTGCATGGTGGGAAAATAAGCTGGAGAATTGCTTGCTGTTCTACACCATTCTCCACTCTTTTAGGATGATTTTACCAGAGATGGCAGGTTTATTGAAAAATAACTTCAATCTGTGCCACATAGCATTGAAAAGGTCCCTTCCCTGAGCTGTTCCTTTGTAATTCCCCGTGGCAGAGGTGTAAGAGATTGTCAAGTGGCATGGTGCATTTTCCCACACGGGTGGAGAAACACTTCCTTTAATGTATAATAGCATATCTCTATTAAACTGAGGCTCTGTCACTTGAACTGTGATAAATATTAGATCCAGCGCAGCCTTGCAGTGGAGATAGCAGCGATTGTTTCAATTTTGGTATCAAATGAGCTGCCCATGAGTAGAAAGGTGGGTTACCTCCAGCTGTACAGTGAATAGTGTACACCCCAGGAAGAAGAGGGTGGTAGTGGGAGAACTAAAAGAAGCAGAAAGCGCACAGAGTGATATGTGTGGGTTTTATCCCAGAAAGAACTGCTTACCTCTTAGACCCAACCTGTCTACTGATGCAAACAGTGATTGCTTCTTGGACACCTTTTGTCCCAGAAGCAGAAAAGCATGAACTCGCAAACACACAAACATGCAGTGCTAATAGAAGTTCAGCCATAAACGTGTGAACTGCAGGCTTACACAGGGATGGAGAAGATGGGTCTATGGGGATTCATGTCTGCCTGTGATTAAAGGGTGTAGATTGACACCTGCTGGTTTTCATCTCTTCCTCTACTTTTGGAGTGAAGTATCAGAACTTGTTTTTACTTTATTGATTTTTAAGCAAGAGAAAGCAGCAAGCAGAAGAAGGGCAGAAATGTTGACAGGGCTGAGACTTCAAGAACAGCTGAGGCTATTGCCTACATCTTCTCTCTGCTTGCAGTCTGAGAGTGTCTGGTTTATTGGCCAGACATGGCAGACAGTCTTAAGAAGCAAGAGAGGGACTCCTGCTTGTCAGTTGCTGGCTGCTAAGAATTTACTGCCCAGTGCTCCATGCCTGATGGGACCTGCTGGACTCTTCCCTTCTTTCCTTCTAGAATATGGAAGGGGTCTTATACAGTACCTGTGGTGTCTGTCCATTTTCACCAGGCTTTGAAGGATCTGGAAAAGGAAGTCACCCAATACTTGTAGCTCCTTTATTGTTTGCTCTGTGGTAGAGCTAGAAACTACAGCTGGGTGGTTGGGAGGAGTTGTGTTTAGGGGCTATACAAACAGAAAACAAAGCTATCTCTCCATCTTATACCATAGCTGTTAATGCAGAACTGAGACAGAAGAGTCTGCAGTTTTAGGCCACCCTGTCACTGCTTCTAGGAAGGCTGTGAACAGTGGCAATAATGGAAAATACCAGGTTCAAGCATTTTTGTTGTTTCCTCTTGTGTTTTCAGAGAAGGATAAAATGATGTAAATCTGCCCAAGTCATGTCCATTAGTGCTGCTGCTGATTTAGAGGAAATAAATTCTGAATGTTTTCCATGTGAATAACTCTTACTGCTGCATGCATGTATTTGGCATGATTGTGTGTGTGTATTATAAGCTTTGGGGTTGCTTTGTATTTAGTATATATGGCATTCATCAGATTTCTGTCTGACTCAATTTCTTTTTTACAAGTGTGATTTCATGTTGGGAATTTTTTGCATCTGGAATTCCTGCTTTCCAGATTGGAAATGTGTTATCTTCCCATACCATGGGACTATTTCAAGGAAAAGCTGCTCATCAGGGAAAATTTTATTTAACCTTTTATGATCTGTAGGCATTATCTAATAGTCAGATCGTGTCCAATACTTATGTTTGCTCCTAACTTGTACTGCAGGTGTGCTTAAAGTAGAGACCGGTCTGAGGCTTGGCTGAAAATCATATTCAAATGTGATTCGTATCCTGAATTACCCTTATCATCTGCCTTCATTACTTCTGTGGTTTTGGTGTAGCTTATAAATGTGCTGAACAGTTTAGGTTCATTATGGAATTCTGCTGCTAGTGTCAGTTCTTGCAGTGGGTGGAGATTTCACTCCCACCTCTGTTTTTAGTTCTGGGCCACCTTCTCACCTTCCATGCAAGGACTTTCCTTCTGGCTGCTTCTATTCCTTCAAAGCTTTAGGTGAAGAATTATGTTGAAAGCTTTTTGGAAATCTGAGTGTATCTGACAGCTTACCTTTGTTGACGTGTTTGTGAATCTCTCAAGGATCTGCAGTAGTCTTAGAAGGATTTGCCTTTAAAAAAGCTTTGACTTTTTCCCAAATATACTGTATTTATGCAGGTGCCTGCTAATTCCACTCTTTGTTATTTCTATTAATTTATCAGTAGATGTCAGTTTTACACTATGTGGGTGTACAGTTCCTTGGGTTCCCCTGGGATCCTTCTGTAAACTGGTGTCAGATTTTCCACTTTCCAATAATCAGATGCTGAACGGGTTTTAGCCGAGAGGGTTGTCTGCTAGTATGTAACAGTTTATCCATTTCAACCTTGACTTCCTGTTAGGCCTCTTGGATAAACAGCTTCTGATGACTTCATACTGTGGGTGTTGTCCACTTTTCCAAATAAGATTGGGGTCATAAAGTTTTCTCACAATCCCCTTCTTTGTGGAGTTTTCTGAATGTCCCCAGTTCCTTCCACAAGGGTTCCAAGAATTAATCTGACTTCTCTGCAATGGCTGTATCTTTTGAGAGAGCTCTTTTTATACCCTAGTCAGCTCCAGGCCACCCAGAATTTCTGGAAGGTTTTCTATTTCTGAAAAGTAACTATTATCTGCTCTGTGGGCTAGCCAGCAAGGGCCACAGTCCTGTGGGGCAGCACATACCTGGTTCTGCAGTGGGTGAGGCACACACCCCGTCCTGCCCCGCTGACGGGAAGGCAGGGGACATGGAAAGAGCCAGGAGTATGGTGGGACGAGGCATAAAGAGGTAGAAGAGTGAGGAGTGTTGAGGAGGTGAACACGGGGAACATGGAAAAGAGTTGGGAGCAATGAAAGTATGGGTTAAATGGTGTAGGGAGAACCTGAAGTGTTTTGAGAAGATAAGGTGTAGGGGAACTGATGGATTTTAGTGGATTGGTTAGAGGGGATATACTAACAAGCCGTGGTTAGGGTGGTAGAGGGCATGAAAGGAGATATACACAGTGAGTGTAAACCACAAGCCATTAAAACTAACAAAGCATTGGATTTTTTTTCTCCTCTCTGTGAAGCAGTTTGTCTTAATAAGATACTCTCTTCTTCTGTGCCATTTTGTATTTCGCTTCCTGCTGTCACCATCTTGTTCACTTTCATTGCTGTTTTTCTAGTTTTGCTCAAATGCAATTCTTTGATTGCTTATTCATTATTCATAAAAATGGTACTTGGCATTCTTCACCTTCAAAGCTCTTTTCAAGCCTGCTGTGTCTGAGCCAAGA